CCTTTTAGTTGATTTCCAGGAATTCTTTTATTTCTTTCTTAATTTCTCCTTTGACCCACTAGTTGTTTAGGAGTGTGTTGTTTAATCGTCATGAGTTCTTGTAAGTGACTAGAGCTTTGTCCAGTGTTGATTTTGAGCTTTATTGCATTGTGGTCTTATAGAATGTATGGAATTATTTTAAAAAAATTTTTTTTAATTTGTTGAGGTTCGTTTTGTGCCCCAGTATGTAGTCAATTTTTGCAAAAGTTCCATGGGGTACTGAGTAGAAAGTGTATTCTTTGGTGGTTGGGTGGAATATTCAGAAGGTACCTGTTATGTCCATTTGATGTATGGTTTCATTTAATACAGTTGTCTCTCTGTTTATTCTTTGTCCAGTTGTCCTACCTAATTGAGACAGTGGAGTATTGAAGTTCCCTACTATTAAGGAGTTGGGGTTAATCTGTGTCTTAACGTCCTGTAGTGTGTTCTTTTTTTTTTTTTTTTTTTTTTTTTTTTTTTTTTTATCTTAAAGTCCTGTAGTGTGTTCTTTTTTTTATTTTTTTATGAATTTGGGTGCACCAGAGTTTGGTGCTTACATGTTAAGGATTGTAATATCTTGGTTAATTGTTCCTTTGATCAGAATGAAGTGACCCTCCTTATCTCTTCTGATTAGTTTTACTTTGAAGTCTATTTTGTCAGATATTAGAATTGTAGCCCCTGCTTGTTTCTTAGTGCCATTTGCTTGATATGTTCTTTTCCATCCTTTTATCTTAAGGTAGTGCCTGTCCTTGAAGGTGAGATGGGTTTCTTGCAGACAGCAAAAAGATGAGCTTTGTTTCTTAATCCATTCACTTAGCCTGTGTCTTTTGACTGGGGAGTTCAGTCCATTGATATTTAAAGTTATTATTGAAAGATGTGTATAGGTTGCCATCATTTTGATTGCTGTTTGCGTTCTTTGTCTAATTTTGTGTTTCCACAATTATCGCTTTATTTTCTTTCCTTGTCCCTGGAGTATAGTTTTCCTTTTTCCGTTCTTTGTATTGCTTCAAGTATTCTTTGAAGGGCTGGTTTCGTGGACACATTTTCTTTTAGGCTCTTTGTGTTTTGGAAGATTTATCTTTCTCCTTCAACTAACACACATTTTTGCTGGGTAGAGGATTCTGGGCTGGGATCTATTGTCATTTAGAACTGGAAATACCTTGGTCCAGGCTCTTCTGGCTTTCATAGTTTGCATTAATAAGTCAGCTGTAATTCTGATGGGCTTTTCTTTGTATGTGACTTGTTTTTCTTTTACTGCTTTCAGTATTCTCTCTTTGTTCTTTACATTTAATGTTTTTACTATGGTATGTGGTAAGGAGTTTTCTTTTCTGGTTCTGTCTATTTGGTGTTCTATGTGCTTCTTTTATTTGTATGTGATGTCTCAGCTTAATTTTGGGAAACTCTTCTACAATCCTTTTTAAGATCTGGTCAGTACTATTAATCTGAAATTCTTCTCCTTTCTTTATGCCTATGATATGTAGATTTGGTCTTTTCATGGTGTCCCACATCTCTTGCATATTCCTTTCATGTATTTTTAAAAAATTTTCATACTCTTTGCTTGAGTGGTCCAATTCTTCATCTTTATCCTCCAGTGTTGATATTCTTTTTTCCATTTCATTCATTCTAGTGTTGAGGCTTTCCCCTGTTGTTTCAAGTTGGCTTATTGATTTTTTCACTTCCTTCTTCATTTCTGCCTGAGTTTTCTTCAATGTTCCTGTCTCTTCTGTGAATTCATTCAGCAGTTTATCTCTGTCTTTTTTTAGTTTTTTATTGTTTATTCATGTGTTCTTTGAATTCATTGAATTCCTTGATCATGTTTATGATTGTTCTTTTAAATTCTGTGTCCTGGGTTATCTCTAGGAGCTTCTCCTCATAGAGCTCTTCTACAGGACTGGTGGAGTTTGGTCATTTTATTATTCTTTCATTGTGATTTTGTCTTATGAATTTATTTTGTTGTTTGTGATTCTGGCTTGAAAATTAAGTTGAAGTTTGCTTCTGTTTGTATTATTGGTGTGCCTTGGTCATTTTCTTATTGGTTATATAAAGCTGGTTGGTCCAGGTTTCAGGTTCTCTCAGATTTTATTTTGGAGGGATCTGATGGCCTCTGATCCCTCTGATTCAGGAGCTCCCACAGAAGCCCCAGTCGGATTCCAGTCAGGTACACACTCAGGCTTTCTTCTCATGTTGGGCCCCTACTAGTGGGAACTCAGAGCAAAACTTGGGAAGTTCCCTAAGTGGGGGCTGATTTTGAGACTCTCAGGTGGTCTGCTGTGTTCTCAGCCCCTATGCCAGAAGGAGGCCAGAGTAGGTATTCTCTGGTGGTCTGCTGAGATCTCAACCCCTAAGGTGGAGGTCTGAGGAGGCATTCTCAATCTGTCTGCTAAAGTCTCAGCCTTATCCTACCAAGGGCAGAGGTCTGCCCAGGGGCCATTTGCGGGGCCTCAGGTTATCCCAGTTAGGGTGTTGGTTAAGGCAGGATTTGAGGAAGCTCACCATCACTTGGAGGCAGGATCCAGGTTCTCTCAGGCCCTATGCCCGAGCAAGGCCAGAACAGGCACTCTCTGGTGGTCTGCTGAGATCTCAGCTCTCACGATGTGGTTGGAGCAGGCACCTTACTGCCTATGATATTTTCATATATAATTTTGCAGGGTACTTGTGCTGGGTCAGCCTAATTATCCTCATCTGTGAAATGTGGTTGATGATGACAGTGGCGTGTACATGATTGCATATTAGTGTTATGATAACGTGAGAGTACTTTGTAAGCCCTTAAACTACGTATTGGTGGGTGAAGTTCTAATGATGGTTATGCTACTTCATTCTTTCCTAGCCACTTTCATGGATATGACTTTTTGGGGGAGTGCTGCAAGAATTGTACTACATATGATTCAGATTGAAATGAATTTATACTATATACTCTGAACAATAATCTGGGTACATGAGCGATCCCTGTAATTCCTCTTAACTAAGAATTTGATGAAATCTCTTAAAGCTCAGCTGTGAGAATAATTTCACTTCCATCTAAGTCTGTATTTTGGACTCTGCTGATTTTGTGTTCGTGCGTGTGTGTGTTAGTGATACATATATCCATGTCATAACATCTGTGTACTTTAAATTAGAACTGGAAAAATGGAAGGAAAAATACAAAGATCTGGAGACTAGGAATAATCACAGGTCAAATAAAGAATCCGTGGATGCCACAGAACTACTCAGTGAGAAGTTTAGTAAGCTTCAAGATGAATTACAGGTATGATTCATTTTCTCCACCCCCCCCATTTTCCCTCTACTCCCTCCCTCCTTCTATTTTATTTTTCTATCTGTTCATTATATTTCTAATAAGAGAATTCAGTGTATTTGGACTATTATATATGTATTTTTAAGTTGCCACTTTTGCTGTCTTTATATCCATTTTTATACTCCATTCATTTCTTTCTTTTTTTGAGACACGGTCTCCCTGTAGTCCCAGCTGACCTGAACTCACTATGTAGACCAGGCTGGCCTTGAACTCACAACAGTCCACCTGCCTCTGCCTCCCAAGTACTGGGATTAAAAGCATGCGCCACCACGCCCAGCTTGCCATGCATTTCTTATTCAGCTAATTTTGCTCTGAAGAAGATGGCCATTGTGAGTATTATTTTGATAACTATCAATTTCTTTAAAATTTGATTTTTGAATTGGAATACTTGTATATCTGAACACTATAACATGTTTTCCCATGGGATTTATCAAATTCTATATAAAATTTTGTATATTTTTAAAGACTCTGAATTCATAACTGTAGTCTTAATATTTAAGAAAGCAATGGTTCCAAAAAGTTGCATGCATGCCCCTGAGTTACTGGCTTTTTTTGCTATTATTGTTCGTGGTGCTCTTTGTGTTTTGAGAGGGTCTCATATAGCGCTCACTGACTTGGAACTCATGTGTAGCTGAGGATACCTTGAATTCTTGCCTGCTCCCCTCTGCTTCTCAAGTTACAAGAGTGTGCCCCCATTCCTGGCTCTGTATTTGAACTATTTTCTTCTCAATTCAGGCTGTGTATATTTTGATGCTGAAAATAAACACAAAAATTACTTTCCTTTGTAATGGTTAGTTATAAATTCTAGAATATATCATTTTCATTATGAAAATACAAAAGCATTAGCCAGATTAAGAAAGTTAAATGTTGGTATGTTTGCACTATTCTGAGATGATGTAATCCCTTATAAACTTTGTAATCCTGGTATGAACTGCTGTAGTTCATATAGTACAATGGTTTTAATTGTTTGTAAAGTGATGGTGTTTCAAGTACAGTTTTGCTTGGATTTTTCAGTACATAAAATTAGATGCCTGTGAACTCAAAGACCTATGGAACTGAGTTTGGAAATTACTGACCTATATTCTCTATCCAGCTATTCTGAATGTTCCTTTAATAAGCAAGTTATTCTTTTTTAAAATTATTTATTGTTTTTATTTTATGTGTATGAGTGTATTGCCTGCATGTATATGAGTGTACCCATGTCATGCAATGCACGAAGGTCAGAAGAGGGCTTTGGATTCCCCTGGAACTGGAGTTAAGGACGGTTTATAGCTGCCATGTGGGTGCTGGGAATCGAATCCGGGTCCTCTGTAAGAGCAGCACTGAGCCATCTCTCCGGCCCCTAAACAAGTTATTCTTTGTCATCCTGAATGTCCATTAATGTTTTATTTTTGTAACCGTATAAATACAAGTGACCATCACAAACCAAGTCTTTCCTTTACCCTGGTATTTATGAAGATTTGAGTCACTGTAACTCTTACAGACATTTAAATTGTTTATTTCTTCTTAAGCTCACTGATGAACTTTATGGTAAAATACTGTAAAGTGAAAGCATACCAGTTATTGTTTCTTTTTAGAATGGAAAATAAACTTGGATCTTGTCATTATTTAACAAAAAACACTTTTTTCGTAGTTTTTAAAAAGGTGAAAAGTGGTGGATTGCATGAAAATGCTGTGAACACATTTATTGACTACTCAGGCATGTGCAAATAACATTATTTTTGTTCAGGAATCTGAAGAGAAATATGAAGCTGATAGAAGGAAGTGGTTAGAAGAGAAAACGGTGCTTATCACTCAAGCAAAAGAAGCTGAGCATCTACGAAACAGAGAGATGAAGAAATACGCAGAAGACAGGGAACGTTGCTTAAAGCAGCAGAGTGAAGTGGTCGGTAGTGATTCTGTCTGATGTATTTAGTCTTTTCCCCCTGGTTTGTTAAAGTTATTCTAGGTTTCCCATTTTAAAAGCAAGTTTATTGTGACACTTAGATTTTTTTCCCTAACTTATTTCAGTCCCGTTAGCATGTTGGGTAATACCTGATTGCACTTCCCTGATTGCTAAGAATGTTTAGCAAGTCTTCATGTTTTTCATCTCTAATAAACTTGTGTTTTCTTTCTTCTCTTTGGTTAGTTTGACCAGTGGTTTTTTTCAATCTTATTTATGTTATGTCGAATTTGGTTTTCCCCCCTCTTTTTATTTTTATACTTATTTATTTTTGAGATACGGTCTGCTATCGTTTTATTTATTTAGTATGTGTATATAGATCTTTGCATGCTATAACACATATGTGGTGGTCAGAGGATAACACATGGGAGTTAGCGCTCTCCTTCCACTATGTAGATCCTTGGGATTGAATTAGGGTCATCAGATGGCTCTGATAAGCCATTTCTCATGGCTTTTTTTTCTTGTTTTTCTAAGACCTTGAGGTGTGTTACTAACTTATTTGAGATTTCCCTATTCTTCCCCTCCTCCCCTTTTTTTTTCTGGTGATGGGAATTGAGCTTAGAGATTTACATGCACTTGGTAAACACTCTGCCACTGTATTCTAAGACCTTTTCTGATTTCTTTAATGTAGAATTTATAGCTATAAACTTCACTCTTAGAAATATTTTCATTATATCCTACAGGTTCTGGTCTGTTGTATTTTTTATTCAGTTCTAGAAACTTGAATTTCCTTCCTGAATCTATGATGGCTCATTTATCAATAGTGTGTTGTTAAATCTTCATGAGTTTCTAATGTGTTCTATAGTTTCTCTTGCTGTTGATTTCTAGTTTTATTACTTTGTTATCAGATAGAATACAAAAATTTTTCTTGTATTTGTTAAGACTAGCTTTGTGTGGTCTGTTTTAGAGAACTTTCCATGAGTTGCTGAGAACATGTATTCTGTAGTGTTTAGGTGGAATGGTCTGTTAAGTTTGTTTTTATAATGTTGTTTAACTCAGATGTTTCCTACTTGAATTTTTCAGTACATCTTAAATGATAAAGGAAATGAAGTGAGAGGTGTAGTTGGGTGGATCTGCGAGCAGATAGGGACATATGAATATGATCAAAGTACACTCTATGCAGTTCTCCAAGAATCACTAAAAATATTATTAGAAAGATTGGCTCTGTGACATTGTTCTTGGTTCCCAGAGGGTGTGGTTCAGGGAATGTTTAGGGTGGCTAGGCTACAGACTTGTCCAGGCTTTTTAAACTGACTTTTTTGCCACTGCTCTGGTAGAGTGTCAAGAGGAAAGTTTTGTCATACCTCTCCTTCCTCTACTAGTACCAGTGCTATATCCCATGACTTGTGTCCCTTCTCTTTCTCTTCTAACATGTTTGTTACAGAAAGTACAGTGCAAATTTCTTTGAGCTGTCTTTTTAAAGCTATGGCTCTGGCCCTCAGTTTTTAGGCTCTCTCTCACTGTAAGGAAGGAACTCCTAAACTGTGCTTATCCTTCTAGGATGGGGTCTGGACTTTCATGTTCTACTCTGTGGTTTCCTATTTTACTTTGCAATTGAAAGTAGAGAGTTTTATTGGTCACTCACCTAATGATAGCTGTTATCTCTCTATACCAAATTTATTCCCTGGAGATTCTAGCAGATGTCCCATATCCAGATTTTCTACATATTTAATTTGACACAGAGTTTCTCATACTTGTTTGACGCCATTGCAAATGAATTTTTTTAAACTGTTCGTTTTTCTGTGCCTAGATCCTATGAGGTTTGTCATTTTTTAATTGTAATTTTAACATTTATTCTTCAAACATTGTTGGAAATGCTGGTATTTTAAATGCTAATGCTATAATTATTTTTATATAGGTATTTCATCCCCATATGATATTATGCATAATAAAAGTTTTAAACATTCTTAGATTCATTATGTTTAAAGGTTGATGTTAATTTTAAAATTAATTTTTAAGTTAGCAAACACTGATGGGTTTCATTATGGCATTTATGTACTTACATCATTATATTTAATTTTTCTTGTGCTTATAAAATAGGAAATACTGACAGCGCAGCTGGCAGAGAAAGATGGTTACCTTCAGAAGTGGAGAGAAGAACGGGACCTTCTAGTTACAGCTTTAGAAACACAGATGACAGCACTGATCTCTAGTAACAAGCAGAAAGATAATGAAATTGAACGATTACAAACCATCACAGCACAACTTTCTGAAACAGTCAGTAGAATCTTAATTCTTTCTATACCTTTTTGTTGAACTTAAGTATTTTTCAAAATTATTTATCAAATAATTAAATTTACTCATTAAAAAGTTTGAAAGTATTGGATATTTTTATGAGTTTTGAATTTTCAGAGTTTGTCATTATGGTTGATTTGTCAGTGAGTGAAACCACTTTCTCTTAATATTTTGGTCCTACATCCCAGATAAAGTAATTAAAAATTCTACAACTTATGATTTCATCCTTAATCTATCTTTAAAATTTAGAAATGTGATTCAGCATGAACTTTTGGTGGGACTTGAATACTTGGGCCCATCCATAATCTCAGTGTGTAAAGATATAAAATATTTTGAAAGTAAGCTGGTGATGGAAAGACATCATGAGTTGACTGGCAAAGCTGTAACTTTTGTAATACTACACTGGTGTTGGAAATCCTAATAAATGGAGTCAAGGCATAATTGAAGCTAATTTTTCTGGAATAAATAATCCACTTAAAAATTATCTGCTCAAAGCCTACGTGTATAGCTCAGTGGTAGAGCGCTTGACTGGTCTGTGCAAGGACCAGGGTTCAATCCCCAGTACCACTAAAACACCGAAACAAAATAAATCTGCTGCTCTAGCCAGGCAGGGTAGTGTATACCTGTGACTTCAGCATTTGGGAGCCCGAGGCAGGAGGATTGTAAGACGAAGGCCAACCTGGGTTATAGAGCAAGACTATGGTTGTAGTGTACATGTTTATGTGTATTATACATTAGAAGACTTAATGAATCTTAGAGAAGGAATGTTTCTGTAAAAAGAGGTAGTATCATGCATAAATAACAGACTAGGAAGTGAGAAAAGCTAGGTATGAGCATTATCACTGTGATTATGGAGTCTGGGGGGGGAATTAAACATTTCTAAATTGTCTAAGTAGCACTGTCTTCCTAAAATAGTTATGAAATGAATCAAAAACATTGTGAAAAAAAATAGCACAGTTCTTGCTACCGAGGAAGCTGGTTGGTTTTCCTATTATGAATTCAGTAGATTCTGTTCCTTGCCACTACTGAGGAGGTAACATTGACTTTTGGTTTTGATGGTTGTATGTTGACAGACCAAAGTAAGGATACCATTCAAGTTCAACTGAATGATCTGAGTTTTATTGGAGTTACTTATAAGGGTATGAGTTAGAGGAGACTTACAGGAGCGGAAATGACTCAGAGACAACTGTATCACCAAAAGCTCATCCCAGCTTGGGTGACAGCTCTCCAAAGCTAAAAACCTGGAGTGCAATACATCTTATGGGGAGCTTGATAGATTTGAGGGTGTCTCTTGCTCAATTGGTCTGAGTCTCTTCTAGGTAGCTTCCAGGGGGCTCAGCTAGTCTCTGAGTCTTCTAGGCTGCTGGGCTTGTCAGAGAGCTATCTGGAAGAGTGTCTCTCAGCAGTCCTTATTACTTACATGTGATTAGGGACTGAGGGGCCTAGTGAATTTGGGCACTTTCAGGACTTTTCTGAAGCTATTGAGTTGTTTACTTCCTGAACTTAAGAAACTTCCCTGTAGGATGGAATATTTCACCCCTCCTTATACCAACCTTCTTCTTAAAGCGCTTCCCTCCAAGATAAAAGATTTTGTCTTGGAAGAAATTCCTATACAATACTGTGCTGAGATGTGCATTGGAATTTGTCAAATTTAAACATGTAATAGAGCTGGCTGTGGGGAGGACATGCTGACACAAGCCTTTCATCGCAGCACTTAGGAGGCAGAAGAAGGTAGATCTCTGTGAGATCAAGGGCAGCCTGGTCTACATAGTGAGTTCCAGGCCAGCTGGGGCTACAGGGAAACCCTGTCTTTAAATAAACAAATATACACATAATCATGTAATCTAATGTTTCTTTGAATCACTTAAGCAAGGTTTAAGAATAGGTTCTACCTCATAGGAAGTGGGATGAAGAGTGGCTCGTAAGAAAAAATTCAGTTACTACTATGACCTTTTCAGTTCTCAAGGCTGTAGTTACATTATTAAGCAGTGTCTTGTTTTGTTTTGTTTTGTTTTTTACATTTACTCATTTATTTTGTGTGGGTGTGGGGAATAGAGATAACCTGAGGGAATTGGCTCTCACTTTCTCCCATGTAGGTTCCAAGAACTCAGGTCAGCCTCAGCTTGGTAGCAAGAGTTTTACCTGGTCGTTTGAGTCACGGTCTTACGATGTACACTAGATTGACCTCAAACTCATTATCTTCTTGCCTCAGTCTCTTAAATGCTGAAATTACAGGCATTCTTGCCAAATCTAACAATTGCAGTGAAAGTGAAATGACAGTGTATCCAAAACATTTTGGACATAGGGTATATTAGGCCTGTCAGAGAGGTTGGTGAGTTGCCAGCGTTTCCTGTGTCTCTAAGGAAAATGTGGAAGGAGTGGAAGGTGGTTTATTGAAGAATTCTTCATCTCTTCTGTTTAGCCTGTGCAAGTGTTGATTTTTAAATTTTTATGTTAGGTGTTTATTTTCAGATTAAAATTATTTTCCTATTTCACATTCTCTTTATTTTAGCAAAACCAAACTGAGAATCATAATCCTAGACACAGTGATTCAAGTGGTCCTGATAGAGATGAAGCTGAACCTCAAGCAACAAGTTTTGAAATTTCCAGTAATCCAGTGGAGGTTGGTAATACAACCAACTCCGTGTTGTATAACTCACCATTAATCATTAATACTTGTAATTATAATGTGATCAGTTTTTGTAAGTAACTTGAGTAACTGTATAATCAGTTAAATATGCTTTCACCCATGTGAAAGAAAATAAGAGGATTTTCAGAAGTAAAATTCTTCTGTGAAATTAGGCCCCCAAATTACATTTACCTACTCTTTATTATTACTTTTATTAGTTTTTTAATGTGTGTGTGTGTGTGATATTTGTGGGGTGGTATGTTCCATAGTGCCCATGTACAGGTCAGAGGACAATTTTGTGGAGTTGATTCTCTCCTTTACCTGTAAATAGGTTCTGGGGATTGAACTCAGGCCACCAGGCTTGGAAGGTAAACACTTTGTCCACCAAGCCATTTCATTTGCCTTTGTCTCTTCCTCGAAGAAGCAGCTTTGTTAACAAAAATAAATTTAAATATCAGAAATAGAATATTCTATAAGTGATAAACTCGAAGTCATTATTTGTTTTCATAGTGTTTTGTTTTGAAATTGTATCCATGTATTAACTGCCACCACCCTCTAATAGCCACATGGAGTTTTCTTAATTTGTGTTGGGGTTAGGCTTTGTATGTAACTTTACCAGAGTTCATCAGATTGTATTATAAAATAAAAGTTCTATGCCACTTAAAATATCTCACGTATTTTTAAATTTATCTTTAAAATATATTTATTGGGAATACTCAGTGTTGGAAGCATTGCTGCTGAGGGTACAACCATGAGACGTGACTGCCACCTGCAAGGAGCTGGGAATCTAGGAAGACAGGTTATTGATTTGTTTGCTCTTACCTCATGAACTAATGTTACTATAGTAGATGCATGACATGAGGTGAGCATTATAGGGGCACTGAGGATGCAGTGTGTTTGCCTGGGTCGTTGTGGCAGTGGATTAGGGAACATGGTATCATGCTGCATCTTAGAAGTCAACAGAAGCTTACTAAGCAAAGAATGGGAAGAGAAAGACATTTTATTCTAGGAAAAATATGATGAGCCATTCTTTCTCTCTTGTACTCTTGTCTTGCTCTTAGGGATTACTAAAAACCATAGTTTGTGAAAAACAGTTTTAAAAACTTGTCCATAAAGTTTTAGTTTTTTAAATTTTATAAAAGTATCTATTTTATTATTTTTTGCTTATGTATATCTGTATGTATCTGTGTGTGGGTATATGCACTTGTATGCAGGTGCTTGTGAAGGCCAGAAGAAGGTGTTGGATTCTCTGGAGCTAGAGCTGCCTGATATGGGTGCTAGGAATTGAACTCAAGTCCTCTGCAAGAGCAGTGCATGTTCTTAGCCACTGAGCCATTTCTTCAGCCCTTAAACTAATTTTTTAAGTTAGTGTTTCATTATGGCATTTCTATACATATATCATTATACTTTGTTCTTATTCATCTTCTCCCTGTACTGCCCTCATTCCTCCCTTTCTTCCTGCCCCTCTCTTTCTGGTTCTCTTAAGAAGCTCCGGGTGCTTGTGTGTTAGTGATCCTCATTCCACAGCTGAGATCGTTAGTGTGGATCCAGGACATGGTCTCAGTACAGGAGACGCCCTTCTCCACCGGGAAGAGAGAGTTGTCCTGTGGTGCACACACTTTTGAGGTAAAGGTTAATTCATAAACCAGACACATTAAAGATGGACAGAAACTAATTATAAAGCACAGTGATGACAGCAATATAGTCTAATGGACGGTGTGTAAGTAGGGATCTCTCTCTCTCTCTCTCTCTCTCTCTCTCTCTCCCCCTCCCTCCCTCCCTCCTTCCCTCCCTCTCTCCTGCCCTCCCTGCCCTCCCTCCCTCCCTTCCTTCCATGTACGTTTTGCCTGCATGTATGTAAGTGTATCACCTGTGTGCATTGCCTGCAGAGACCAGAAGAGGGTGTCAGATTCCCTGGTACTGGAGTTATGGATTATTGTTAGCTGCCTTATGAGCACTGGGACTAGAACCCAGGTCCTCTGCAAGAGCAGCCAGTGCTCTTAACTGCTGATCTGTCTCTCCAGCCCAAGGAGGTTTAATTCTTGATTGCATGAGCACTCACATATGAAACATTACTTTCTACATAAATTTATATACATTGTTCTAAAATCTCTTGATTCCAATTTCCTACTAATAATTCCAGCAGCTATTTTGTATTTCGTGGTTTGGGGAATCAAATGAACCATTCCCTTTCGTGTACTATTACGGCCTTCATAAAATCAATATGGTCAATAGGACTGTAAGTGACTCATTTTGCATAGTGACAGTTGAAAAGATTTATATGTGGCCTCTGCCTGTGGCCTGGGCTTCTCACAGTATAGTGGCAGGATGCTCCGTGGGGCCATTATCAGTAGGGTGTGTGTCCTGAAAGCATTGGAGGAGGGCAGGATGAAAGTTACACTGCTTTTTATCACTGGGTTTTAGAGAACCATGGTGTTACTTTCAGCCATGGAAATCATCAAAGGAAGAAGGAAAGATTTTTCTTAGCAGGAAAAGCAGCAAAGGGTTTGTAGTTAGTTTTAAATCTGTCATGATTGGGGTGCTTGTTAAAAATACCAGATTCTTCCTTTGGAGGTTTCTGACTTAGCAGGTTTTGTGATGAAGTCTAGTGATCTTAAACATTCAGTTCTTAGGATCATACAAATTTGGGTAATGTTGCTTATTTAAGTTCCATTTGACACTTTTGTTGGTACCAAAGAGTAAGCCCAGGGTCTTGAGGTACCCTAACCCTACTTGTCTCTGATTTTAATAAATCTTGTATAAAGCTGGAGGGTGTGGTTAAGTCAGTCTTTCTGCCCTTGCTGGCACCCAGCATACTTTTATAGCTTTACCAATTTATTGTCTTAGACAAGCATTTGAGAAAATTCTTTGTGGTTTTATAAGTTCATGTTACACAAATAAATTAATTTTTGTTCCACTCTTATTTGTCATAGGATGCATCTTTAGTTCTCGACTCTTGTGAAGTATCAATAGAAAATGCGCAATGTACTCGATTTCCAAAACCTGAGTTAGAGATTCAGTTTACACCTTTACAGCCAAACAGAATGGCAGTGAAGCACCCCGGTTGTGACACACCACTCACCGTTAAGATTTCCAAGGCTCGGAAGAGGAAGAGTAATGAAGCAGAGGAGGTAAATACTTAACTGATGAGGAAACTTAGCAAACAGACGTTGATGTTACTAGGCTCAGTTATTAAGCTTTGCTGCATAAGGACTCCTGTTCGAGACTGAAATTACAATGACATATTTTATTTCCTTTCAGAATAATACCGTGCTGTGGCTTAATAGTCCTCAGACAGAAAGCTGTGGTTATTAGTTTTATTCCTTCATTTAATCTGTAGTAGGTCAAATGCTGGTGGGTTTTACTGGAGACCTATTTCAGCATACTAGTTTGGTTCAAACTTACTACTTTCCCTCCAGTGGAATGGGAAATATTTGATAAAGAAATTAGGGAAACTGAAATGACAAATTTGCTTGTTCAGAGTATTTGCCATTTAACTGAAATCTTAGGTCTTTATGGCCATGGAAAGTTTTGGAGAATAAATTCTATTTCCACCAGCCAGTGTTAAGATTTGGACCTTTATGCAGTGGTGGGTGAAACCTCGAGCACTTCTTTGCATAGCTTCTTGATGGAAGGAAGGACTGCCAGTCTACTCTACCTTACTTAGCTTTGGGGACTTAGCTGGTGTGGGGGCTTGGGTAAACGAGCTTTCTGCTCCTTAGTTTTCTTCATTTGCAGTAATCGATTAGTGTGTTTGAAATGCTCATCTTTCTTTCTTCCTGTGGTACACAGTAAATATTAACATTTTTAAAGTAACTTATTTTAACCTTAAACTCTGGCAAAATAGCTTTCCCCAACTTTCTTTTACTTCTTTAAAGAGTAGTGTATTTTCAAGCTGGTGGAAAAAGAAAAATAGTAGTAATTGAAGTAATTGAGCTCCTGAGGCCACTGTCAGATTGTGTTCACCAAGTAAATGCTACTAAGCATTTTCCTGATATATATGCACAACATGTTTTGAGATTGTAGAGCCTTAATACTTAGATTTTTAAAAAATTATTTTCCCATGTTAAGCACATTTTAAATACCTCTTAAAATATTTGAATTTCATCATCTATGTCATGTTGGCTTTGATACATTTTTTTCCTAAGGAAAAATTGAGTATAGTTTTCAAGAAGTTAAAATTCAAGTTATTTATCTCATTCATGGTAGGTAGTCTTCATCTGTATCTTAAAAAAGATTTACCTACAGTTACAGGTTTATCATGGTAAAGTTTAATTTTTTTCTGATATTTTACACCTTCACTATCGTAATAAATCAGCTCTCTGGTCCCGGTGAATATATTTTAAGCAGTGCTTTATTCTAGTCCAGTAACTACTCCAAAGAGTTGTTTGCCGACCTTTCCACATGTGATGGACTGATTGGCCATGCCATCTTCCTCATTTGCTTTCATGGTTACTTTCTTTCCATGAAGTAACCGGGATTTGGATATTCAGCTGTGATCTTTCCTCATCCTTTTCTTTTTGCCCTTTCTCCACTATTTGTATACTTGGGTTCTTTGTTTACAACTGAGATTTAGAATAGTTAAGTTCAGTACATATACTCAGACAAAGGCTTTGTCCTGTGAGAGGTTATGTGGGGAAACGAAGAGTAAGGTGCTTTGCCCATTTAGGAAAGAAGAATGCTTGTGGATACCTTGTAGGTACCTTACTGCATGCGTGCTTAGCTATTTGTGTTTTCAGCTGCGTGAAAGAAAATTAGAGGCTTTAGAGAAGTAAAACTCTTTCGGTTGTTAGCCTGAGCCTTTAATGGCCTAGCTATCCCTCTAGTCAAAGAAGTGAAGTTCTTTAAGCAAAGAATTGAACAAGCTCTTTTTTCACATTTTACCTTTGTGAAGTTTTATTTTTCTTTTGATGTTGCTAAATTTCAATGAAAGGTCTTAGACATGCTTTGGGGCTTGGATTAAAGATGTAGATCAAGTAAACACGTTCTTTGCAGGTTTGCCATTGAGCTCATGTCATTTCATTTCTAAGTTCAGACTTTCATTCATGGTTTCTCAACCTCAGTACAACTGACATTTTGAGCTGGAATCTTCTTTGTTGGAGAGGCTTGGTAATTACAGGGGTGCTTAGCAGCAGTTTGGCTTTTACCCACTAGTTGCCAGTAGTACACGTCTTCTCTCTGGCAAAGACAACCAAAAACATTTGACCCCCCCCTGTTGAGTTCTGTAATTAAAAGTGCCTCTGTTTAAGAACTACTGTCATAATTGGTAATGTAGCATTTTACAGATTTTCTTTTTTTTTTATAGATTTATTTGTATTTTATGTGCATGAGTGTTGTCTACATGTATGTATGTGTACCATGTGCATGCCTAGTGCCCACAGCAGCATCAGATCCTTTGGATCTGGACTTATGGATGGTTGCGAGTGCTGGCAACTGAACCTGGATCCTCTGCAAGAGGAATAAAGCACTGCTTAACTGCTGAGCCATGTTTCCAGCCTGATTTTTTGTTGTTGGGTCTAGAGAGAGAAATTATCATTAAGAAAGTAATAAGTGCTGAAATTCATTATTTTAAGGACTTGGTGAAATGTGAAAATAAGAATTCTACATCCAGAAATAAGTTGAAGTTCCCTGCTTCAGAGCATAGAAATTCCTCTGTCAAAAAGGAACAAAAGGTTTGTCTTTTAATCTGCTGTAATTGGCAATTTCTATAGTTTGCATGATAAAGTAGAAGCTGGAAACAACGGTGTCAAAATGTGATTAGTAGTTTTCCAGAAATGTAGTTGTGTCCATTTCTAACTCATTTATCCTCTATTTCCTTCACATAAACTTTTCACTGGATTATAACCTTTAGCATCTCTCTATTAGCAGGTATTTCTTCATGTGCTCAGTTTTAACTAACACCAGCTGTTAGACTTCAGCCCTTTGATCTCTCTCTCCATGAACTTAATTCCAGGTTCCTTTCCTAAGAACTCAGGACCTGACTGGTTTCTTAAATAACTGTGGACATAACTGTTTCCTTATAACATTTCTCATTATCAGTGACAGTAACATGTTTGTTTCTTAGGTTTCCATGTATCCGTCATCTAAGAAAACATATTCTTTACGGAGCCAGGCACCTGCAATTAGTGTAAATGCAGCCTCTAAAAAAAAGGAAGGGACACTACAGAAATTTGGAGACTTCTTGCAACATTCTCCAACAATTCTTCAATCAAAAGGTTTGCAGAAAGTTATATGATCCCTTCTGTTAGATGTAGATTGCTTTATAATACCTGATAGTGTGTAAGCTCAGTGAATATTATACTTGAAACAGAAATTGTCTTCTCTTGGGTATTGTGGGAAGAATCAGATGGAAAGATGATATTCCTCTGTGTTCACTGTGCATTGGAATAGGAAGGTTCCTGTTTAAGTGATTCAGATAAAGCAGGTTGTGTAATATAATAGAGGTACAAATAAAGTGCTAGGATAATATTGAAGGAAAGAGACTGCTAATCAGAATGATTAGGGAGGCTTGCTTGGGAAGATATTTTTGTTTAGAAGGAAATTGGATTTGGCCTGAGCATAGACATTTTAGAGGGATTGTACTCTTAGACCTTTCAGAGGCTATCACTGTTAGTATTGTGTATGTCTATGTGGTGGTTTTGTTTCTAGCTGGTAGCCTCAAGTAATCTTCCATACCTTAGGCTCTTAAGTAACTGGGACTACAGGCAGGCGTGACTACACTGGCAAGGGGCTTCTTGTTTTGGAGAATTATGTATTTTATTTAAATTACACTGCCACTTAATGTATTAAAAAAGAAATACGTTCTCACGGAAAGGGAGGTACCTATAAGGCAATGGGTCCCTTTATTGACTCGGTTCCTTAACAGCTTTCCTTCCAGTGTACTAGGTGTGGGTTGTTATTATTTCTTAAGCTGTTTCTAGGAATATAAGCTATCCCTATTTGGAATATAATATATGCCTATCGTGGTGGGTCACGTAGAATACCTGGTAAAAAGAGTAAAAGAATAAAATAAATCCTACTTTATATTCTGCTCTTCTGATAACCACAGTTATCAGATAACCATGATTCTCAGTAGTATTGGTCTCTATCCTTTCCCCTCTGGTCCACCTACCCCTCACTAGTACCTGACAACCAAAGTGGTTTTATTAATATGCAAATTGAATCATGTTATTCCTGTTTAAAGTCTTTTAATAGTTTCCCATTCCCCTGCAGGGCCTGATTTCTCCCTGTCCAGCCTATCTTCTGTTTTTCTGTGCTAGATAACTAGGCGGCTTGAATTTATTAGCTTCTGATGGTTCCTAGGAGCCTGGCAGCTTTCATGCTTTGAAGTGCTTGCTTTCTTTTGCATTTCCTTATGTTTTATCTGGAGCACGTTCTGGCTTCTCTCATAGTTGCTTCATGATCTCATTAGTCTATCATTAGCTTTAGTTAATTAAATTAGCTTCTTTATCCAATCATATTTTTTCTTTGCTTTATTATCTTTGCCTCTAGAATAAGCTTCACAAGGACAAAATGTCTGTCTAGTTCACACCTAAGCTCTTAGTATAGTGAGAAGCTTGATTCTAGGCAAAGGTCTTATGTGTGATGACTTTTAAAAAAAAATTATGTGTGTATGTATGTCTTTCTGAGTATGTGCTACATGTGAGAGCATGTGCCCATGGAGACCAGCTTTTTCAGTCTCCCTGGAGCTAGAGTTGCAGGCAGTTGTGAGCTGCCTGACATGGGTCCTGGGAACTGAACTTGAGTCCTCTACATCAGCAATATGTACTTTTAACCACTGAGCCATCTCTCTAGTCCCCCATCTCCCTCTTTTTTAAAGGTCAACCATAGACAGTTACAAAGGCTTAACCTGATATTCCTCTTGGAGAAAGCTAGGCTTTCCTACACCATACTTGGTATATAGCCTTCACATTGTAGTCTCTGAAGGCCTGTGGGCCCCTTCACCAACCATGGTGTTGCACATAACTGTATTCCTAGCTTTGTGCCTCTTTGTTTGGACATTCATCAGAGACCTTCATCAGGTGTCTTTGCCAAAGCTCTTTCTATGGGGTTGAAGACATTCTCCACTGTCACTCAGTACTTTTTCACTTGTAACCATCTGCTTCTGTAAAACTATTTGTTTGGGGCTGCCTGAGTGCTAAGGTGACCTGTACATCTTTGTTGATCTACCTCCTGACCACATACCATTTCATTCATGATGAAATATAGACAAAAGTGCCTAGAAATTGGTGCTTTCCCAAATTTAGTCTCTTGATTGTACTGTTGCAGTATGAGTTAATGGGCTTGGGTATTGTTTTCATTTTGATCTTTTCCTGGCATCAAAGCTAGGGCCTCACAGAGGTTAGGCATACATTCTGCCATTCATTTATGTATTTAGCTTATTCTTTGGGCTTCTTATCTTTATTGGCTTGTTTGATACTTGGAACTCAGCCCTCTTAAACTTAGCTCAACGTGTAATAAATAGACTCAATTTAGTGTATTCCTTAAACATTTTTTCTATTTTTAAAAAATATGTAGTTGATATATAGATTTTTTTAATCCAGGAACTTTCCCAGATGGAAATATGTTTGTATTAAAATTAGTATTTGTCCATTAAAAATTTTTTTTTTTAATTCCTAGTCTATTTCCCAGACATCAGGTGTTAACATTTTGGGCTCTATGTGCGTGTACGTATGTGTATGTTTGTGTGTACTATATAGGGTTCATGATTATATTTTTAGTGAATATTCATAACAGGCATCTTTATGTATGACTATAGAAGTAAACCTGCCACCTTATTCTTTATTCATTTGTTTGATATATTTTGATTTTTTTGAGATAAGGTCTTTCTGCATAGCATAGCCCAAGCTGTCCTGAAACTCAAGCTCTTCCTGCCTTAGCATCCCAGATGCTAGGTGTGTGCATCATGCCAATGGCTTGCTGTAGATGTACCCTGCTCTGCATAAACCTTTCCCAGGCCAGGCATTAAAAATGTCAGGTCTTACTTGCTGATACTTATTTGCTTCTCTCCATTCTTGCTGTTGGCAGTTTTTGTTGTTGATTTTAATGTTTCTTTGGCATTTAATTTTTTTCTTTGATCAATTATCTGTTCGTGCCATCACCATTTTATATTGTACTGCTTTTCTTCTTGATTTCTGTGTATTCATTAAAAATTTCAAACCTTTGCAGTTAGAAATTAATTGAAGAATTAACATTTTTATTTATAGCAAAGAAGATAATCAAAACAATGAGCTCCTCGAAGTCCTCAGCTGTAGAAGCAAGTAAAGATGTGTCTCAGCCCAAAAAAGCCAAACGCAAATTATACAGAAATGAAATTTCATCTCCCATTGACATATCTGGCCAAGTGGTAAGCTAGTATTTCAGTTTTCGCCAGTGTAAAACTATTCATTTTCTTTTAAACTCTCAAGTATTCAGTATTTATGTGTATGAGTGTTTTGCTTGCATGAATATAATCGTACCTGTTCATATACTGCCTGCAGAGGACAGAAGAGGGCATTGGATTCCCTGGAGCTGGAGCTGTGTTAGCCACAGTATGGGTGCTGGGAACTGACCCCGGGTCCTCTGTAAGAGCAGCCACTGCTCTTAACTGCTCCACAATTTGAATTTTATAATGATTTCAATTTCTTTAGTTCTCTTAAGATACATCTTTTTCTTTTAAGTGTTATACTTTTGGTTTCAGGTTTATTAACCTTATGGCAGTTAAATATAAATACTACGTTTATGACAAGAATTGCACAAGTCTGTGTTACGTACCTATTAGAAATATAAAATTGATATCTCACCATTTCCTCCCACCTTTCCTCTATAAGTTGTCTAGGCTCCTATTGTTGTTTTTGGATTTTGATTGTTTTGTTTGAGACAGAATCTCATGTTGCCCAGGCTGGCCTCAAACTTAGTGTTCCTTCTGCCTCAGCCTCCCACATTCTGGAATGTAGGTATGTGCCACCAGGACTGGCTACTTCCAGGCTCTCTTAAGAAAAGATGGTGGTTGTCATTTTGACTCAGACTACTTGTCCTTACTAAGATCAGTTGGTTCTATTACAGGAAAAGTTCTGATTTTCTGTCATGCTTTTATTTACTCAGTGGATAGAAGTGGAAGTAGAAAAGTAATTGAAGGACTTGAGTAGGAAGTGGCTAAGACAAATCAGGAGACACCTTTGCAGTAGTGCTTGTCAAACCTAAAGTTGACAAGGAAATTAGAAAAGAAATTAGGGTCAGTTAGAAGATGCTGTGTTCAGTGTTCAGGATGTACTGAACATTAGTCACATTTCACTACTCATCTGATTCGTACATAGGTCCTTCCCTGGGCTAAGTGGCAATAGTATATGCTTTCCACTTCTCAAGTTGTATCTCTTATGCTGTGAAGGGTCATTTCTTAAAACTTGTTTGAGGCATTTGTTTCTAAATATTTTAATAATTATTTCAAGCTTATATATGCCTTGGATTCAATACAGAGTAGATTGTTCTTAAATTAGGTAATATTGAACGAGTCCTTTACAGAATCTATTTTGCTTGCATTTTCATGGAAGATGAACAAAGAGATTCTAACGTACCTATTATATGTCAGTGATTAAGTCCGAGAACACATATTACCACACAGCATGAGCAAGTTTTATTTTTATGTATTCTTTAAAAACTGAAATTTTAAATTTCAGATTTTAATGGAACCTAAAGTAAAAGAAAGTGATCATCAGATTCTCAAACGAAGACTTCGAACAAGAACAGCCAAGTAAATTGCTTTTGGACAATGCTTTAGTGTAAACTTTATATTCATAATCATTGTAACTTGTATCTTGACTTTTTAAAGACAATTATATATATTATGATGCATTAAATATCTCTGTATAGCTTGCTGTTTTATATGTAGTATAATTTTAATTCAATAAATAAATCAAGAGCATACTTGTATTTTAAGACTTTCCCGTTTTTATTTTTTTATTGTGTGTGCACGCATTGTGGGTACTGTGCATATGCCACAGTGCTCTTGTGGCGGTCACAGAAAACTAGTAGGGATCGACTCTCCTTCCACCAGGTGGGCCCTAGGGGTTGAACTCAGGTCATCAGTTAAGCAGTGGTGGATTATAATTTTTTTATTCAAGAAAATTTCAACAAATTCTGAAGTAATCAAAAGAAGCTCCTGTTAAAGTTCAAACTGAAGAAAGGGTACTTGCTAGGGCTGCTGCCATTGAGCACTGTGAAGGTAGAACCAAAGCAGAGGGCAAATGAGGGGAGGGCAGGAAACAGAGTCATAGCTGAGACTAGTTATTCTTAGAGGGCTGACTGTAATGTGAAATAGGAGAATTCATTTTAACTATCACAATAAATAGGAACATTTTACCAGTAGGCAAATCAAGTCTGAATACACTAAATTTCTCATTTTATAGTAATAATTTATAAATGGAGTAGACAGACAAAAATGGGTTTCTATTGTCAACATGAGGATATTGTACTATTGATATAAACTTACAGACTTAGTAAAGAACTTTAGAAATTTGTTGAGGATATAAAAATGACAAAAAATAATCCTAAGAATTGATATTCTTAAATTCAAGATCAAAATGTTATAGAGTCTCATTGATTGAAGAAGTGTGTTGTGACCTAAAGTTAGTCACATGTATAATTCACACAAAAAAATCAGAGTTAGGGGTTGAGGGTGTTGATCCATGGTACAGTGCTTTCCTAAGATGTACAAGGCTTTGGGTTCAGTCCCCAGCAACACACACACACACACACACACACACACACACACGGAATGAGAATTAGTCTAAAAGCCAATTTTGAGTTTTGGTTTTGTATGAGAGTACAACCAAAATCATAGTAAAAAGAAAAAAAATTGTAACATGAAATTTCTTTAATATGAACTTATTTCAAAAATAAAATGACAAGTTAAATAATAGAAATAATGTTAAATAATACAATATCAGGTCTGAATAGAAAACTTTCATTTGTGTGCTTTTTGTTTTTTAGAAAGGGTCTCACTGTAGATCAGGTTGTCCTGGAACTTACTGTATAGCTCAGGATGTCCTCAAACCCATGGCTATCATCTTTCCTCAGCCTCTCAAGTGTTGGGATTACAGGTATCAGCTGCCACACCTGGCTACAGTTTTTGTGTTTTTAAGACAGGGTCTCGCTGTAGCCCCTGCTGGCCTAGACCTGGTTATATAGACTGAACTCAGTCTCACAGAGATTTGCCTGCCTCTGCCTCCTGAGTACTGGGATTAAAAGCCTGTGCTACTAGGCTTGGCACAATAACTTCTTTTAGACATCGCAGATACTAGGTCAGTTAAGATCTTAGGATATAAGCTGTTATCTTGTTTATTTTTCTATACATGATGATATAGGTCAAGTGTTTGGTATTATATTATGATATTATGAGTTGTTTTTCTTTTCCACTGTTAGAATGTACAACTCATTTTTTATGTTTCCTCTGCCATAGCTAGGATTGGGGGAGTAGACATGTGTAGCTGCTTTGTTTGCCAAATGAGTAGAAACATTATTTAGAAAGCAATGCTTGGTCTTTAACTAGAATGTCCTTTATGTTTTTTTAAAAAAAACAATTTAAATAGAATTGGATTTCCAATTTTCCTAGCATGGAGAAGATTAGAAATATAAAGGAAGAAGAAAGCATCTAAGAGCCAAACCAATTCAGCTTTAAAAATAATTTTAAACTTGAATCAAAGAAATAATGTTTTCTTCATTTCATGGATGAGAAAATCAAAACCTGTAAATAACTTCTGCTGTGACATATAGCTAGATTGTATTGAGCTAATTGTTAAAACATACAAAGCAGAAACCTTAAAAACTGTTGCCAGCTGGGGCTTTTTAAATCTGAAAACATATTTAAATATCTTAAGACCAGGGCTGAAGAGATGGTTCAGTGGTTAAGAGCACTGTTGTTGCAGAGGATATGGGTTCCGTTCCTAGCACCCACATGGCGGCTAACAACCGTCTGTAACACCAATTTCAGAGAATTCAACACTCTTCTGGCCTCTGGGCATTGCATGCATGGGTGTACTTACATACATGCACATAAAAAATATATATATATAATTAAAATATCTAAAATCTTAAAGATCTCATTGGTTTTTAGCATTGTTTAATAGTTTTTTTTAACTTTTATAAAAACTTTATTGAGAATTTCATACATGTATATAAGGTGTTTTGATCAAATCCATGCCCACTCCCTCCCCTCCAACATT